TCCAAGCTGGGCATGGAGTCTGCTTGAGATTCTCTCTGTCCCTTTTCCTCTACCCTCCCCCCACACTCTCTCTCTCAAATAAATAAATAAATAAAATAAAAAAAAAAAAAAAAAGCCAGTGGTATCTAGGCAAAAGGGTGCCTGGGTGGCTCAGTCGGTTAAGCATCTGACTTCAGCTCAGGTCGTGATCTCAGGGTCCTGGGATCAAGCCCCGCATCAGGCTCCCTGCTCAGTGGGGAGTCTGCTTTTTCCTCTACCCTCCCCCCTGCTCGTGATCTCTCTCTCTAAAAATAAATAAAAATCTTAAAAAAAAAAAAAAAAAGACCTCCAATCCTATATTGAGAATAAGTATAGGGAACAGTAATGCAAGTTCTTCTGTGTATGTCTATCTACATGGGAGGAGTAAAGGAGAGGAGGAATCAAATGGATCTACATATTTCTGAGCAGCGAAAGAAAACCTAAATAGGTTGTAATCTGAAAAATGGCAGTACCAGCTATCAGTAAACCTGAAAATAATAATAGCTCACACTTATTACTCCCTTACTGTATGTGTAAGGCACTGACCTAAGTGATTTACATGTAACTATTTCACCTAATCCTTATAACTGCTGTGAGGTAGGTATTATTCTTGATCCCATTTTAGAGATGAGAAAACAGACTCAGAGAGGCTAAGAAATTTAACCCAAGATTATATAACAAGTGGCAGAGTTGGAATTTAAATCCAGGTCTGCCAATTTAAGAAACCTAAATCGAATCACTATGTTGTGCACTTGAAACTAATAGAACATTGTATGTCAACACCTGAAATTAACATAACATTTTATGTCAACTACAATAAAATTTTTTTAAAGATTTTGTTTATTTATTTGAGAGAGAGCACAAGCGGGGGGGGAGGGGAGGGTCCCCATAGAGGGAGAGGTCCCACAGAGGGAGAGGGTGAAGCAGGCTCTCTGCTAAGCAGGGAGCCTGATGCAGGGCTGGATCCCAGGACCGTGAGTTCATGACCTGAGCCGAAGGCAGACACTTAACCAACTGAGCCACGCAGGCGCCCTTACAATAAAAAAATTTTTAAAAAAGAAACTCAAGCTCTTAACTACAATTAGAAAGACAATTACACTAAAAGAACCATTTTGCCTTTTACTCAGTTCCAATAATTAGGATCTGTGTATTTATATTGTGCGTTGTGTTTAAAGTCCCACGTAGACCTGTTCCTGCATTATTCTACATCCACAGGCTTTAATCTACCCCAGGCCAGGTATCTCATAAAACTAAACTCTCAGACATTAATAAAATGAACAAGGCCAACAGTAGAGAGTAGGCACTCTGAAATATTTGATTTGGATGGAGCAATGCATTTTCATCCTCACTAGAGGCAACTAGAAGCATATGACAAATGAGGCACACCTGACGAAGGACAGCACATTAATAACAGTATTTAATTACGCTATAAAAGAATGCAAAAAAATCCTTATAGCCTAAAAAACAATAGCTAACTTAATTTTGCAAGTTTAAAACAGACTTTTCCTGTAACTTTCTATAGCTACAAATGTAACTAAAACTCTACAACCACTGGAGCAGTGGGTTAAACAAATGGGTTACAATAATTTTTTAAAGTACACCTAAAAGGCTATAGCTTCAAATCCCATTCTAAAAATTCCTGAATATTAATCTGTGTACCTAATCTCCAGATAAAAATCAAAATGGTGTTTCTAGGTTGACTCCTAGGCCTTCTCAAACCAGTTCAAACCAGAGTTTAATGTGAGAGGCTCAGCAGATTTCTGCTTTGTCGTGAGTCACTAAAATGTGATTACCTCAGCAGCCATAAACCAAAGGTAACTAGTATCTCACAGAGAGAAAGCAGAAGGGAATTTACAATATGATCCTCATAAGACTCTCTCATTCTGAAGTGCAATTCTATTCTACCTACCTTTCTCATAGGAGTTTCTGGGAAGCAATCTTGGAAGAAGGGCCAAAATCACACCAACCTCTCTCTTCTTCCCTACTCATTCCTGGTAAAATCATTTCTTTCACACTTCTACGCTTTATGTGTGTGTTTCTAACTGACCTAGGAATAAACCATTTGCCAGTTGCTAATCTTATGAATTTTTTCTTAGAATCTTGTAACTTTTTCTTAGAATATTTAAGAGGCTAACTGAAAGCGGCTACTTTGCAAAATGCAATGGACAGTCTGAGCAACTTCAATGAATTTGTTTTATCTTCCTCATCCTAAACATACAGCCTATGAAATTGCCCCAAAAGAACAGCCAAATGTAACTATATCTGGCATATTTCTGTACTGGCATGGTATCATTAAGTACTTGAAACATTAGCAGGAAATCTGCAAAACTAATAATTTCTACCTGCAAAATTAAGAACTTAATTTCTCCACATTACTATCCGAGCCATAGGGTAACCAGCAAAATTCAAGGTGAAGCATGGTAATAAGCTAAAATACACTCTGGAATTCAAATCAAGATATTAAAAGCTCAAATAACTCAAAGGCACAGGGGAAATGTCAATGAGCCAACAGTCAATGTGTGGCTAATTGGAACTATTCACATTTGGAGTAAATTTGGTTGAATGAGAGTATATTCAACCCAACTCTGGCTTCTGGATTTCTTGATCCTTTTGGGACATATATCCATTTGCAAATCGCACCTGTAACCTTCCCCCATGGCACCAAAACCAAAGAAAGGCACTCTGAACTCTCACTTGCCAAATGTTTTCCAAAGATGTCACCAGCGCGGAGCCCACCAAGCCACTCACCTGTGATGCATCTGCTTGGGGCCAAGTGTCAGAGAAAACACACGGGTGGCGGGGAACCGGCATCAGGGATTGCGTTCCAGGGTCACGTGCTACCGCATCTTGCTTACAACCGCTGCACGAACGCGGCCATACGGCCCCGTGGCCGCCCGGGGCCGCCCAACTTCTCCCGAGGGCCGGCGGCCGCGCACCCCGCCGCGAGATGAGGCATGCCGGGGGACACCCGGGGCTTTTCCTCCAGAAGCTTCGGGAGGGGGGCTGCCCAACCTGGGGAGGGGGGAGGACAAGGGCGGTCACCAAAACGGGGGAGGATGCAGTCCCCGTCCCCTCGCCACCGGAGAGCCCAGGTGCTGCGGACACCGCCTCCCAGGGGCGGCCGGCT